TTGTAGAACTGATAGGGTCCTTTCTGTCAGTCTGAGAGTCTGTACTGCTTCTATGTGAGCCCAAATGTCCAGGCATTTTCCATGTCACATTGACTTGTTCATGTGAATGTATTGATGTGTGGCAAAATCTTCACACAGGAAGTAGCAGCACTTACTGTTCACTGTTACATTTCTGAATGTGTGGGGATTTTGTTTTATATATGGGTTTCAGTCAACTCTTGGTGCGCTTCTGTGGATGTGATTTGCATAGAAAATTTCAAAGTTAGTTACCCTCAAGAATGATCCAAGACGGTATGACTTAATGTTAGTGCTTCCTGTATTATTATATTTCAGCCTTTTTCATTTCACAATTTTTTTCTCTTGAGATTTATTTCAATATCCTCTCTTCTAAAAAACAGGCAGAGAAAGCTGTACATCAGAAAAAAGAACAGTCAAAGACTAAATGCCGCAAAGCTAGAAGACGCCACATAAATTTGGTAGCAGAATTTAATCACAGGCAAAGAAAGAATATTTGGCTGGAAACCCATATTTGGCATGCAAAGAGATTTCATATGATAAAGAAATGGGGATACTGTTTAGGAAACAGCCCTACAGAGAAGAGCTACAGGGCTTGTTACCGAGCCATGACAAAGCATTGCCTTCTTCAGGTACCACATCTACATGTTTTGTTTGATGTCTTGCCAAGGTGAAGTAATCAACTGCTTAGTTATAATGAATATTTCTGTCTCTGTGAAGTACTGTTATGTCAGCTTTTAATAAGACTGCTGAGTATGAAATTAATAATTTTATAAGTGTAATTCTGGGTGGCAAGTTTTAGAGAGAATACGATGGAGTCTTATAGTAACTATGAAATACTACACTTTCAGTTTTTTCAAGAGCTAAGAGATTAACTGAATCCTTGTATCATCCACCTGAGCAGCTATTGAGAGATAATTTATTCTATGTCCTTTTTGATCTGTTGGTTTGAGAGGCATGTTGACCCTCAAATGAGAAATGCCTCACCACTCTCCTATTAATTTTAAGTTAAAAAGAAACTCATTTCACTTTGGCAAATTTTAGAGAATGAAAAATTTCTACTGAAGTGTAAATTGTGAAACCCTGTCTGGTGCTTTCTTAACTGGCTCACTTTAAAGAATTATCCTCACTTTGACACTATCATATTGTTTCAGGACTTATCATATTATTGTTGCCTGGAGTTGAAGGGTAAAGAGAATGAGCTTCTGAAGCAACTTGCTCGAATATGTAGCATTGACACAGGTAAAATTTACATAGTTCAAAATAAAGATTCTGAATAGACTGAAGGATGATGCATCCTTTTCCTTTTTTAGTAGTGTATCAGTCTCAATAGTAGTAGCAGAGTTGATACTGCATTGTGATTTTGAGTAAAAAACGTAATTAAGATGTCATAGTAGGACCAGACATTTTTATTTCAGTGGCTTATTAATAAGCTAATTACGGTACAACATTAGCCACTCAGCAGCCAGACTGAATTTCAGTTTTACTTTGTTTATTAAACAACATATTATTTTGTTCTTCAATAAGCATCTTCTTTTTTAGGTTTGACATTTCAAGAGGCTTCTTGTCTGTCTGGAAGATTCGAGGGTTCCCTGAATGTTTACCGAGCAGATCGCTATCCTGAGGATATGCTTGGTCCTGTTACATTTATTTGGAAACCCAGGGATGAGTCTGAAAACAGACAGTTGTGGATCTGGGTGCATCCAGCTCTCAAGCAGGTGTTTTTTCCTATATAGTTGAACTCTTATTTCTTTATATATTGTGCATTATTAATACTGAAGAGATCATCTGAAAAGTACGGAAGAACTGGGTATAATACACGGCTTCAGGAACTAAAAGTTGGAAGACTATTTCCACTCTAACAGTATTCATGTTCTGCAACTTTTTATAAAGCTTGTACAGAAAGTGCATGCTGCTGAGGTGTTCAGTGTTTGAGCTTCTGAAAAGTTTTGTGGTGTCACTTGCTTCAGGATTTATGTGCAATATGATATTGCTTGATTCACATCCTTTCCACTGGCACCCCCAGCAGGCTAAGTTCAGTATCATCACGGATAATTATAACCTGATACTTAGCTATCAGCTTTAAAAAAATGAAAATGAAAAAAGTAGAATGTTGTGCACAAGCAATTTTTCTTACGTTAATTTTTAAGAGAACAAATTCTTAGCAACTTCGAATATTACTTTCAGCTTTTCTTAGCAAGCCCTGGACTTCAGCAGAATTAAGTTTTATTCCTTGAAATCCATATAGGTTAAATAATGGAGTATAATTTCTGAAAGTATACGTAAGAATTGCAGTGCACTGCCTATCATCCTAATCCAAACTTCATTTTTCTTAAGGACATACTAAGGGAGTTAAAAGCAATTTTTCAGTGTTCAGAGCCTGAAGAAATCTGTATTACTGAACCTGTTACAACATCAATTCAAGAGGAAAAACAAGTGGAAGTTGTTATGAGCGTTGGCAATAAAAGAAAGAAGGAAGATAAAGAAGGAGAAAAAGCTGTGCCAGTGAAAAAAATAATTGGTGATGGCACTAGAGATCCATTCCAGTCCTACTCTTGGATCACACAGACTACTGGCATTGCAATCAGGTTTGTAGTAGAGTCAGAAACTCTGGCCTGTAGCCACACAACATAGCTGCATTTCTGACTTAATAGTACTGGGGAAAATCATGTGTGTTGTACAATTGTACATTCACCTGAAACTTTCCTGTTTCAGTGACAAAAGCATGGAGATTCTCAGATACCGGCTGATCGGTCCATTATCGAACTCCGTCCTTACAGAGACCCTGAAAGCAGCTTCTGTCCAAACAGTAAGGAAATTGACTTTGGATATTAGTGTAATTTTAGTAATGTTCTTAGAATGTGCAAGCTTGTTTTTTGCTAGAAAGACCCATAAATTATCTAGCCTTACTTTTCATAAAGGCTAACCTATCTGTTACCCTGGTGGTTTCTCTGTATTGAGCCTCTTGACTAATGCTGATCTCAGGAAGAACTCCCACCTGGATTTTAAATGGGAGTAGGAAGAAAATAAAAACAGTGGTGCTGTTGAGTAGGCTATGTAGTTTCTGCTGAGAGGTCCAGAATAATTCATACTCTCTTGGACAAGCCATCTTGTTTCTCAAGCAGTGAGCTAAAGCACCTAAAATTAGGGGGCAAGACATGTAAGGTACAGAAAACTTATGTGTTTTCAATCAAATATGGAGTTTCTCCAGGATTTAGGTTTTTCATCCACTTCTTGGCATATAGCATCACTGTGGTTTTAAGGGTTTTTTTGTCTCTTGAAGCAAACATGATAAGGCCATGATATCTGTGGCTTTCTGTAAGAAATAATTAATGACAGAATTAGGAAATATTGTGGATTGCTTTGTTTATTTTTGGAATACAGGTTAAATTGTACAGCTTACTAGAGATTATTTTAAAGTACAGGACTACACTTCATCAGGAAAAGATTACTTTGGTTTAAAACTTGAAGAGGAAAAAAGTGACTATAGTGGTTAAGGCAAACTGAGTGTGAATTCACAGATAGAAAATAATGAATAACCATTTGAGTTTAATTAGATACATTGTTTTCCAGGAGATGGCAGATTCAGAGACAGAACTGAATAACTGGTGGGTAGAAAACTGCAAGGACTCTGAGAAAGTATCTCTTCATCAGTGTCAAACTGCTATCTTTGAGCTGTTGGAAGGTATTTGGGCACGTGGGTGCTATGGGTGGAAGGGGGGAAAACTTAAAATCTAGTGGTCAAAACTGGCATGCTAATTAAGTTGACATCAGTTTGGACATGCTTATTTTTTTGCATGATCAAGAGTCATGCCTTTGAGAATGTGCTTAGGTGCTTGCCAGGGCATGGCAAAGAATTGAAAAACGTTACATTGAGGGTATTTAAGGGAATTTAAATCCTCTGTGTAGTTCAAACTCTTACTAGAGAAACTGAATCTTGTTTGTTATCTTCGTGAACTTAGATTTGAGATTGCTGATGGGATATACAGTCTGATGTATCCTCTCACTCTCTCTTACGATACTCTTCAAGTTAAGACAGTAAGTTGTACAATGCATCCACAGATAAAATGGTAGCCTCCAATCCAAAGTGAAAGTATTATACTTTGTGTATATATGTTCCTTTCTAAATTAACAGTTGTGTATTTGGCTGAATTGTAAACTGTCCTAAGCTAACAATATCTCCCCAATTTCTAGCACTGAAACAGGTAAGGAACTGGTTTTGGTAGATCTCACACTGTACTCAAGCTGTCTATCCAATGTGAGGCAGTTAAGCAGAGATGAGGTAAAACTTTTACAAACACTTCTAAATTTCCTTTGTCTCTCTACACATGCAAAACAAAGGTTGATTGTTCTTTGAAATTTGTCAAAGGATGCATTCAGTTTGTGACAGTGACCTCACTTCTATGCTAGATGTAAATGTAATTGTAAACCAAGTCTTGCACTGCTCTTGTCGACTTTTTTGTTACTGAACATTTAACAAGCATTGGTGAGTTTTCAAAACATGTTAAATGGAGTATTCTGGATTGCTTCACTGGCTTACAGTGGTGTCACATTCCTGCAGGCAAAAACACACAAAATACTAGTGCAGAAAAAGATCACAACTTAATTGGTGGTTTCATGGCAATGTTCATCTGTGTGTTTTTAAAGGGATGAGCTCACCATCAGATATGCCACCAGGTACAATACTTGGCCTCACTGTTGGAGATCCTCGAGTCAATTTGCCAAAAATGAAGACAAAAGCCATGCCAGACTTTCAAAAATACCAAGGTAAAATCCCTTGTCTGTATTATATGAAGAGATTTAGTTTCTCTCTATGCTTTTGTTTTCATTTACTGTCATATTCTATGGATTGTCTCTTACTGTTTTCCTCTAGGTTTTGGTTCAAAGTATTTCCCATTTCCAGAGCCCCTGACAGAACAGAAACAGCTTGAAAGTTGCATAGGTTTTAGAACAGCAGTTGTGAGGGAGGGACGTGCACCAAAGCTGGTCTTGTGCTCAGTGGAAGCCTCTGTCTGACCATACAGATGATCCAGGTTCGAATCCTGGCAAGGCCAACCAGGTGCTAAAAACTCCATAGTAAGTTTCTGTTTGGTGTTTAGTCTTCCTTATGCTGCTTCTCTCTCCAAGAAGATATCTGCTATTTCTGGTTTATAGGCCTACAATGTTGAAAGTTGCAATTCCATTATGAAAAAGTTGTTACCTTTGCAAGATTAATATTTCAGATGGCCAAGATGCTGGTTATGATAGTAGATGAAAGATGCAGGTGTAACTTCTGAAGTTTTCATTTCAGTGCACACAACGTTTCAGTGTGAAATTCAAATTCAGATGGATGTGAATGTCCTCTAAAAATGTGCAAAAGTATGTACAGGATACAATGGGTTTTGCGTACAGTGTAGGCATTCCCAACTAGGTTGGCTGGACAAAGGCTGCCTCACCTAATAGGAGAAACGTGATAGCCAGCTAGCAAGCAGTGGCAAATAGGACAAGTTGAAACTTCCAGAGACTTTAAAATACTGAATTTCCTTGGTGGTCTGTTTGCAAGACACTAGAATAATCTAGTCTTACATATCCCTTAAGTCACATTGAACACCTACTTCAGTTACCGGCTTTAAGCTCTTTGCACAATTCTGCTATTTTCATTTTCTTACATCCTCCTATCCTACCCTCTGTACCTAGAACAGCCTTTCTGTTAATTAGTTCTGCTCAGCTAACTTTCTCATCATTAGTGTTCCTGTTGGAAATGCTGCAGCATACATGACCTCTACTTTGGTTCCTTCCTGCTGAGAAGTAAGGTGAGATATGTAGCACTTGTTTACGGATACTGGTCAGATACAGAGCTGATTTTCCCTCAGGAAGGATGGCTGTGGTAAAGAGGTAGTGGTGTAAGACAGGGAGTCAAGAGCACCCCTGTGTTTTTTCCTTTAGCTAGGTAGAAATGTCCATCTTCAACATCTTTCTACCTGGGGTTATCCTTCACTTGCAAAATATCTTCCATACCACAAATACTCAGAAAAGCTAGTGTTGCTTTTTTCTTTCTTTCTGAGTCTTTTTTTTCATCATAAACTTAAAACTGCTTCTGTCCTCTTTTATTTAGGAGAAGGAGGAGGTCCTTGTTCAGCTAGCAAGGAAAGGTAAATGGTGTAGTACCTTCTAATTTAGGTTCTGCTAGATAACTTAGTGCTACACGCAACTGAAAAAGTGGAGTAGGCAGAAAGATGAAAGAAGACAGACAATACCACTGTCTTCCAGTAGAACTTGCCCAAAAAAAAGACTCCTCTAAGATCTGTAATTCCATTTCAGTGCTATTAATTTCCCCCTTCTGAAATAAAAAACCATTTTATGAGCCTTAGAATTACATAAACTTTCTGAGCCTTGATTGTGTTGTGACCTTATTCAGATACAGTAATATTGTGAGCTGACTTCTATTAAAAATGTTAATCATATCCTGTTTAATTGAGCAGTAAAAGGGAACCATTGATGTATTCCACACTTTCCCCCCCTTTTTTTGTTTCTTGGACAGTCAAGTACTATTAGGATTAATATTAGTGAGATTAAAATAGCACTGTATATGTTAGCATACAGGTTCCATATGTGTTTTAGCCTCTCTTGTTCTTCAGTCTTGTAAAAAAACCAGTTGATTTTCTTAGATAAACTTTATTAATTTAAAGATGCATTGTTTGTCAGATGAGCGAATAGTTTAGGTAAGTTATGGCCATCACCTTTGCTGGGGATTGTCATACATGCAGTCTGTGGAACAATACATTTCATATTGCTTTTTTTTCCAAAATGCTTTTGTGAGATATGCCTGTGTAGTTTTTCCCTGTGAGTAACACAGTAACAAATCATGTAATTTCAGTCTTTCCCAGTTACTTTATCTCTTCAATGCATAGGTGCAAGCTGTGTGTTATGAACACGGGCTGATCAAATTTAGTTAAAAAAACTGTCATTATTTCTTCAGGCTGGAGTCAAGACTCCCAGTAAGCAGTCAGTTCTCACATGACTGCACATTAGTACTGTTCTTTTCTCCAGTTTAAAGTACGCTTCTGACATTTTGATATGTTGTTGCTGTCTTGTCTGGAGAAAACAAATTCCACTGCCTTAAAAACAGTCAACATGGAGTATGGTGAAATTTCTACATGATCAGTGAATGAGATGCATAGAAGGAGAATACACCATGAAAGAGATGTGAACTAAAGTTTCTTCTGCAGACACAGAACTAGGTCCATGCCTGTACATGCACTTCCTTCAGAGGTGCAGGTATCTGTCCACAGCTGTCCTGATACCCACCCTCCCTGCAGACGTAGGGCTCTCAGACTGCTCTGGGGCAGTGTTTCTGTTTTTTGCTTTTTTTTATTTTTTGTGAAAGGGAGGAAGGAAAATTTTCAAATAGAACTCTTAGGCCTGTCTTCTAAGACAGATAATCATCTATGCAAATCAGATCAGTAGCTTGAAATGGAACGAAGCCTTCTTCTATCTGCCTGTATTGTCTAAGCACCAACCATTGACACCAGCAGAAGTTGCTTGGGGATGAGCTTCATGTGCTTAGTAGTGCATCTTCCTATTTCCTATACTAGCCCTAATATCTTACTTTCACTATTAATAGCAACTTATTAATCAGTAAGGTTATTTCCCCAGAAATCTTAAAATATGGACCGAAGAAAACAGGAGAGAGGTAAGAAGAACTGGTGTGAGGATTTGGGATTATGATTTGAATTATAGTATGCTTAGTAGAAAGAATAAATTCTCCAGGTTCAATGAGGATCAAAGAGAAGGAATGTACCAAGTTAGAGAAGAATATTTTAGGCTAACAAGGAGGATATTGGATGGGTGGTGGTGATGAAAAGAGACTGACTTAAAAGGTCTTTCTATAGTGGGGAAACAAATATTCATGCCATTATAGAATATAGGAATTGCAAAGAACTCTGAGAATATGACAAGGATAGGCTGCCTGATCTGTAGTACTAGAAAGAAATGTTAAAAAAAGCAGAGAAATTTGCAGTGAATAAGTCGCAGTTGAAGGAACTAGAACATGTTTAAATAATTTAACATAAAGAGATTCTGGTGTTCACAAATGCTTGCTGTACAAAAGATGGAAAAGGTACTTTCCTTACCTTATGCTTGTAATTACGTGCCCTTCCCCATTGGTTATCTGTAAGAGTCAGGAAGACATTCCCTACCACCACCACACACAGTTCTGTTCCTCTTTTTCTCCTTCTTTTGAGGCATTAATACTTGCTTGATCTCCAGATAGAATGTGCTTTGCCTGTAGGAGTGTTGAGCTCTCTTAGGTTCCTGCTCAGTTTTCTGTTCTTAATTTTTGGTCAGATAAGGAATTTTCTTCTGCTTAATTGGCAAGGATTCCCTTTTTAGTTTTATTGTTCTTAATTTGAAGGAATGCTGCTGTAATCTGATAGTTTCTTCTGCATTTCTTCTGCTCACATAAATCTAATTCGTTAGCAAGAATGCGTGGTGAGTATCAGTAACATCATCAAACTGTCACAAGTGCTGCAGTAGTTAATAGTTCTTGCAAAGGATTTTGCAGCTTTTAGTAATGGGTGCGTCTTAAAGACTATGGATTTTAAATAAATAATTATTGCAGTTATGTTTGGCAGTACCTATTGCTAGGTACTGTTAGTACCACTAAATAATCAAAATCTTCTGTCTTTGAGTCTTTGTCTACATTACCTGGAAAAATTAGCAGAACAATTTTTAAAGAGACTTAAATAATTTTAAAAAACAAAACAAACCCTGACGTGTTATGTTCCTTTAATATATAAGACCTTGTGGATGATGAAATGAGGAGCAATCCGTCTAAGTTTTTAGTCACAGAATTATTAATAGGTTCATTGTATTGTTTCTTGATAAGAATTACTTTTTGTAAATGGATGAGCATTCACTACCATACTGTACTGTACACTGAAGCCTGTTAATCCTTAAATCACTAAAGGTAGGTACACATTTTCTTTGCTTTCTTTAGATTTGTAAAACTGAAGAAGAGATAGGTTATTTAATACTTTATCAATCCATTTTAAAGCTACAATTGTTGTTATCTTCAGTAATGTACACAACTGTTGTTTTGTGCAGACTTAAGCAAGAATAGTCCCTTCCTTGAAGCACAGCCTGAAAAGATCCAGAGCAGGAAACTTGTGCTAAATAAGTGTTGCATGCTAGTCATAGCCATACAAATGTTTCCTGTATGTACATTTCTTAAAGGTAACTCTTGCTTCTCTTACAAGTTTACTTAGGCATACTTATTTCAAGCTTTGCAATGTTGCTCTTTCTGATTGTCACCGTATCTTTTGAGCTTCACACTCTGCTAGAAAGGCCAGATTCCAGAATATTAAAGGTGGAATGTAAAGATCTAATTTACATTGCCAACAGTCATGTCTTTTGTTAAGAAGAAACGCTGGTGAGAAAATACCAGGTTAGTCTTTCTAACACTAACAGTTGATTTCATATTTTGATTTGGAAAAACATGTGATGCTTGTTGAGCTTTTAATTAGGCTTTTCTTGGTTGCTCATTATACTTATGATACAGAAGTGGCTTTGGTAATTTGGTACTTAAACCACACATATAGTTTGAATTTTTTTTAAAGGTTCTTTTCTTTTGTAGATAATGATAAAGTTAGGCAGCTGTACCTGAAGGGTGTGCCTGCTAACTGTGCTCACAGCTTTATCTGGGACCATGACATCTGTAAGAACGTCACTGAAAATAAAATCTCAGAGCAGGTAACTTAGTAGATGGATTGCCATGGAAGAAATGGCTAATGGTTCATAGAGTCCATAGAAAGAGACTCTTGAAATTTGTATAAATCTAATGTTAACCTATAGCTTCCTCAATGTCACAGTATCCAGCTGCTGACATGAAGTGTTTTTTGTAGCCTTTGGATAATGTTCTTGCACAGCCATTGATCATGGATTCAATTAAAAGAAAGTTTTATTGGATTGCCTACAGGACTATAATTGTAGGTTTATATAACAGAAAGGTTTGGAATTGGATTTTCATACGTCGTCTTGACTCATGCAGCAGAAAACAGTGACACAGGAAGGCTCT